TAGTAGGAACTGCAGATGCTGGAGAATCTGAGATAACAAGGTGTAGAATTGGATGAAGACAGCAGGGCAAGCAGCATCAGAGGAGCATGAAGGCTGACGTTTCGGGTCTAGACCCTTCTTCAGAAAAGAAGAAGGGTCTAGGCCCGAAACGTCAGTCTTCCTGCTCCTCTGATGCTGCTTGGACTGCTGTGTTCACCCAGCTCTACACCTTGTTATCTTGGACTTATTAATTGGGGAGAAAAAGCAAGAACAGAAGTTCTTCATGAAATGCTGACTTAGCTTCACGCGTGGGGAAAATATAATGTTATTAGAGAGGGTGCAGAAAAGACTTGTAAAAATGATTCCAAGGACAAGGGACTCCAAAGACATTTTATGATGTGATGAGGTGTTATGCTCTCCCTTTAAATGGTCATCAAGACAGAGGTGGGCCTTGAAGTGGAAGAATGCATAGAGTTACAGGAAGAAGGCAAGAGGATGGTACTTGTTTACATGTTCATTTAAACAGCCACCACAGATACAATAGGCTGAATGGCCTCCTGCATTGTAACAATTTTGGGCTCTGGACTGGAGAGATGTTTATTCATGCAGTAGGCATTTTTGCATGATTCACTCAGTTTCTCTTTGCTAGCACTATTTGGGTTCATTTTCAGTCTCGTTCAGCATTAAACTTGTCCAAAATATTTGGGTCTTCACTCACTAAAAACCCCGATGTTACAGCTTCTCATTCTCATCAATTAGGAGTAATTGCACATTACACTCAAAACATTGGATATTCACGGGCTAAAATTCTTGTCGTTTTTCATTCGGCTGGTAGACGTTGTCACTCCCATTCAACTGGAGAGCAGCAGGCAATGAGGCACCCTGAGATCCATACTCCCATCACAATTAATTCCTAACTCTCTACCAACGATACGACAGTCTCGTACATTTAACTAGCCCAAGAAAAAAAACACCATATACAAACTTGAAAACATTTCAAAAGAAGAAATTAAGTCATATAATCTGTAATTATAACCATTATTTAACCATTTATCTCCCTGAAGATCTGACTTACCACCTTCAACTACCTCACACACTTTCCCGCCTTCACCTGCGCACGATCCCGCCCACGGCACTGATTGGTGCAGTGACTGCATGCCTCCCCCTCCCGTCCCGGTATGGCAGCTCTGATTGGCTAATTCGTTTATCAGTGCTGGCTGTAGGCTAGGAGCACTAACGGCGGTTTGGGTCTTCGAGAGCGAAATGGTGGCTGAGGGCTGCCGGGCAATGTGGTGGTTGTATAGCAGCTTTTGATCGACGCTCTTGGACTGGCTGTGGGTTCGAGGTAAAGAAAATATTGCAGGGAATGGACTGGATGCGGGTTTTCAATAGATTGGCCACCTGCTTCCCTCCTGGTTGGCTTTGAATCTGGCGGTTGGGATGAGCCTTCTAGTGAGAGGCCACTGGCTTTACCCTGTATTTGACTAATCGTTCAAAAACTGCCTAATAATAAGGGCCTCATTCCACCCACACACACTCACCAGCTTTCACCGTTGCTTGAAGGTGCTTTTGTCAATTGTAAGTTGGACAACATTGGGTTCGCAATCTCCCGTTTAGATGCACATTGCTGTAGTGAGTTTTAATGTAACCACTTCCAATTTGCTTTAAAATGTTCCTGATATCAGGACTCTGCTGAGGATAATTGACTACTTGGGATACGAGGAACGTTGAAAATTTGGTGAAATTGCCGCCGAGAACTCAGTTGGAACTACGCTGTCACTGACCTGTGTCAATGACAGCCCCCATCACTTTTTTTCTGAGTACGTTGTTGGAATATGACCATTGCACAGTTGTTGGAGCAACATGAAGCAAGAGTAAGAGAATTAAAAAAAAAAAAGGGGGGGAGAAGACCTGCAAACTGATTAAGAGCTAAACAGAAATAATTTGAAAATTCCAGATTTGGAATACCAGAATAAAGAGAATATGCCAAACATACAACCCACTGTCTGTGTTTCTATATATTTCTGGCCAGGCTAGCATTTATTGCTCATTCCTAATTGCCCAGAGTCCACCACATTGCTGTGGGCCTGGAGTCACATTTAGGCTCGGCCAGATGAAATGAGGAAAGCAGCTTCCTTCCCTGAAGGACATCAGTGAATCATTGGGTTTTTTTTCCAACGATCAACATGGGATTCATGGAAACGCTCAGCAGGTCTGGCAGCATCTATGAAGAGAAATCAGAGTTAAAGTTTTGGGACCAGTGAACCTTCATCAGAACCCTTCTGAGGAAGGGTCACTGAACTTGAAACGTTAACTCTGATTTCTCTTCATAAATACTGCCAGACCTGCTGAGCGTTTCCAGTAATTTCTGTTTTTGTTTTTGATTTACAGCATCTGCAGTTTTTTTAAAGAACGGATTCATGGCCATTGTTAGATTCTTAATTCCAGATTCTTTTGAATTAAATTCAAACTTCACCATTTGCAGTGGTAGGATTCAAACCCAGATCCCCAGAACATTACCTCAGTCTCTGGATTAACAGTTCAGCAATAATATCATTAAGCCTTCACCTTCCCCCTTAATGTATAATGCAGTTTGACACAAATTGGACAGAATGCAGAGATACTTTTAATTCTGCATTGTGCAGTGCAGGTCTAAGTTTTTTTTTTGTTTCTGAACAAGTTTGTGAAATTACTGAATCTATTAGATTTCAACACATTGTGTAGTCATTATATGTTGTCTTTCCTTGTAAAGATTTTGACAAAACCACAATTTGATATAATTACTATTGTGTATGTTTATTGTCTACCAATTTGGAGAGACGGTGGTTGATTCATAGAATCCCAACAGTGTGGAAACAGGCTATTCAGCTCATTGAGTCCCCTCCAAAGAGCATCCCATCCAAACCCACCCCCTCTCCTATCCCTATAACCCTACATTTCCCATGTCCAACTCACCTAATCTGCACATCTTTGGACTGTGGGAGGAAGTTGGAGGAAACCCACACTGACCTGGGGAGAAGGTGCAGACTTTCCCAAACAGACAGCTAAGGGCAGAATCAAACGCTGGTCCATGGCACTTGTGATGTAGCAGTGGTAACCACTGAGCCACTGTGCTGCTGGGCAATGTCATTGGACTGATAGTGCAGAGGCCTAGGATAATTCTCTCGTGGTGACTGGAAGAATTTAATAAGTTTTTCCCTCCCCACCCTTATCTGCCTTCCAGAGGGACCACACTCTCCGTGACTCCCTTGTCCGTTCCACACTTCCCACCACACCCGGCACTTTTCCCTGCAACCGCAGTAAGTGCTACACCTGCCCTACACCTCACCCTCACCCCCATCCCAGGCCCTAAGAAGACCTTCCACATCAAACAGATGTTCACCTGCACATCTGCTAATGTGGTATACTGTATCCGCTGTTCCCGATGTGGCCCCCTGTACATCGGGGAAACCAAGCAGAGGCTTGGAGACCGCTTTTGTGGAGCACCTATGCTCTGTTTGCAACGAACAACTGCGCCTCCCAGGCGCGAACCACTTCAACTCCCCCTCCCACTCCTTGGACAACATGTCCATTCTGGGCCTCCTCCAGTGCCACAATGATGCCACCTGAAGGTTGCAGGAACAGCACCTCCCTATTTCGCTTGGGAACCTTGCAGCCCAATGGTATCAATGTGGACTTCACAAGCTTCAAAATCTCCTCTCTCCTCTCCCCTCCCCCGACCGCCTCCCTAACCTGTCCATCCTTTCTCCCACCCCCGCCACCTACCTACCAGCCTCATCCCCGCCTCCTTGACCTGTCCGTCTTCCCTGGACTGATCAACCCCCACCCTAACTCCCCATTTATGTTCACCTTTACTGGCTCCATCCCCACCTCTTTGACCTGTCTGTCTCCTCTCCACCTATCTTCTCCTTTATCCATCTTCTATCCACCTCCCCCTCTCTCTCTTTATTTCAGAATCCCCTTCCCCTCCCCCAATTCTGAAGAAGGGTCTTGACCCGAAACGTCAGCTTTCCTGCTCCTCTGATGCTGCTTGGCCTGCTGTGTTCATCCAGCTCTACACCTTGTTATCTCAGATTCTCCAGCATCAGCAGTTCCTACCATCTTAGAATTTAATAAGTGTTGTTTTTGTGATTTACTTAGTGGGCCTTGTTTGAGGCGTGCTCTACCAAGGGACATGGTTTATTATCATTGAAACACGATGTATGCATGCAGTTCTATGAAAGCTGTCTTCCCCTCTAACTTCCCAAGTAACCTTACAGTTCTTAAATGACTATGTTCTCACACTGGTTTAAAATCTGCTTTAGAAGCGCAAGATGGTAAAGAAATTTTATACAACTGCAACTGGCCAAACTGAGAGTTTCTTCTTGCTCCTAAGGTTCCTGCTTCTTGGTGCTAATGTTTTCAGAGGGAGTGGCAAGTCCTTTGATTTGAGTGGTCCCCTTTAAATACAGCTATCCAGGGCATCTTCAAGTACAATGGCTCACCGTCACTTATAATGTGGAGATGCTGGTGTTGGATTGGGGTGGACAAGGTCAGAAATCACACGACACCAGATTATAATCCAACAGGTTTATTTGAAGACCAGTTTTCGGAGCCTTAGTCCTTCTAACATCTGTACAATGACTCAGCCTCCGACAGCTTGTGTTTTCAAATAAACCTGTTGGACTGTAACCTGGTGTTGTGATTTCTCGCTATTACTTAATAACAGCAGTTTGATATAACTTTGTAATCAACACAGTTCAGATCCTCCATGTAAATTGCATTTCTGTCCCAACAAGGGTGTTACAAAAGGCAGTATTGGATATTGTAATTTCCCTATTGATTAAGCCAACCTTAGGAGCTGGGCAGTCTCAAAAAGGTTTCATTGAAACTCTGATCAATTGTTCCACCTGAAACCTTGCATTGTTGTCCCATCAACACCTATTCAAGATAGTCAATCAAGGTAAATGGTTTGCATATCTGTCTGGCTTGATGCAGTTTGACAGTGAATTCTTTAAACTTCCTGTCTTACCATCTCCATTCCATTGTCTCATTAACACCAATTTAATATGATCAATCAATGTAAATGGCTTGCATATCTGCCTGCCCTGATCCAATTCCTAGCTTGTGGTTCAGTTGGCCAATGTTGCTTTTAGTGTCCCACTATTTTGAAGGAATGTTCCATTATCTACATTTTGTTTTTAAAGTCAATAAGATCTTGAATATAAAACTTGTCTCATTGGTGACTACAAAATTATCATCAATCATTATAAAGAATAATATGGTTCAATGAAATCCTTTAGCAAAGGAACTCTTGCCATCTTTAGAGATAGTAGGAACTGCAGATGCTGGAGAATCTGAGATAACAAGGTGTAGAGCTGGATGAACACAGCAGGCCAAGCAGCATCAGAGGAGCAGGAAGGCTGACGTTTCGGGCCTAGACCCT